ATATTGCTCACCTCTGTCCTTTGACATATTTCTTATTTTTTAAGTCAAAGAAACCTATTAAGGTCATAAGATTTTGCAGGTATACTGGTGGAAGAGCCCCACTGTTCATTACCATAGACATACCTGAAAAGAGCCACCAAAATTTCCTTAAGTAAGTTAGCTGGATAGCTTCCTCATACGACAGAAATTAAAGTCATTGTTGGGATTCAAACTCACTGCAGTGAGAGACAACTCATTCAAAGTCAAAGAATTAAACCATATGGCCACTGAGATCCAAACTTCCTTAAGCAGCAATCAATTGCTTGAATAGATGTTCATACCCCAGCTAATAGCTCTAATTTTACATCCATTTTACAAAACAAAATGTTGCAATGGTAAAAAATTACAGCAGGATTACAGTTCCAAAATTTTAATAAGATGGGATTTATACATCATGTATTTCTCATTTAGTTTTAACCTGTGGCGTAACTTTACTTTCTGATGACACTTCAGAAACATTCAAACCACTGTATGCTTGTATGTGGCTTGTGCAAGTGAAGTCATTAAAATGTTTATTGAATGCGAACATCAAGCAATACTAATAGCTCACCATCAGCTTTTACACTCAGGCAAGCTCAAAAAGATATGTAGAAAGTAAAATAAAACAAAAATTAGAATCTTATACTAAATGAAGAAAAAATATAGTGAATACTATTTCAATGCATCCATAACAATGTCTCCACATTACATGCATTATGTTATAGCTTAGTAGGAACGAAGGCCTACGATGCATGTCAGGAAGGTTTTTTTAAACCAGGCTTATTATGTTCTTGAATGTCTAAATTTGAAAAAAATCTATTTTCCCATGAAAATCAAGGGCTTCCCCGACCTTGTCCAAATTCAAGATGGCCGCCAAGATGGCCGCAAAAATTAAAGAAAATACCAATTTTTGCTTAAAATACAAATACAGGGAGGGAGCTCTTTTTCAACCGTTTAATTCATTTTTTATTCAAAATGATCGAACCGTTCACCGGGCGTAGAATTTCGGATATTATAACAAAGTTCACTATAAAAAGCGTAACTTTTTGAAAAATCCTTAAAATATGCCAAAAGGGGGTAAAAACGTGCTTTTTGGCATCTGCTGCTCCAATTCGCTGCAGAAACTTAATTTAACATCTTATACTATATTTTCGACATTTATTTACAGATATAATGTTGCCGCAACTGTACAAAGAAAAACATAAAGTTCAGATATGAAAGGAAATATGAATTTGAAAAGGGACTGCATCAATATAAGTCGGTAATTACCTGAAAATACCCGAAAATTACCTGAATAATACATGATGTATAAATAATAATTTATTTCTATATATATGAAAGTTTATATGAACTACAGAAACATGTATGCTTGTCATGTGTATTCTCTTTTAGTATTGTCTTCGATATAAAAGTAAGTCAAAGCCATTTTTATAGATTGGACGAGGTAATTTTACAAATTACGCAAGTACATCCCTTTGATATATTAAGCATGAAATCATCTAAATTTTCCAAATGTCATTGAAGAAGCAACGAAGTTTTACCGAGAATTTGCACAGATTTAGAGTAAGATTGTACTCAGAAAGGTATGAACATTAAAAGCCCAGTATTTAATCTTTAGTTCTAAACGAATCTTATAATTATTTATATCAAATGTCAGATTTAATGTAGAAAGAATGCACCAGAAACTTCACATAAACAAAAGCTTTTCGAGGCGGTTGAAATGCCTGCAGAATTTGTAAAATAGTTGAGTATTAATGTTTATAGGCTATGATGTATATATAAATAATCATTTTTGTAAAAATAGTGCGACGATTCTCTTTAAAGAGGATGCCGCTGTGTTAATTTTTTTAAAAAACTTGAGTAGTAGTCGGGATGCATACACTATCCGGATTAATTTTTTTTTTGCCCTCTTTAACAATCTGAAGGGGTTTGAAGACATATCATGTCAAGGTTTACATTTTTTTTTTGTTTTCAGCAATGATTGAGGATAGCTATTCATACTGATAATTAATCTGACAAGTGGCTGTAGAGTCCCAATGCACCACCATGTTGACATGGTACGTGCCATAAATGCATTATAATTTATTCTCATCTGTTTAGAAGGTATGTTTGTGTACCTTGTTATTTTTATTAAATTAGCATTACCCCTAAACAGTATTGATAATTATTATTAACAAGTTTATATAAAATAATTGCATTTACAACATAGAAGTTATTTGAATATAACATATGATAATCATTTATATTTATCAATGCATGTACATGTAGGTAATGATAAAACTATTTATGTGGGACATTTCATATTCTTTATATATTTTTAATGTAACAGTATTTTAAATTGAATTTATACAAATATTTACTGTATAAAATATATTTTGACATACCTTGAAAACCATTCTGTCAGAATTACTTTATTTCAGACACCTTCATTTGGCTTAGTCAGAATGGGACCTTAATGAAGATGCATTATTGTACCGGTATATGAAACAACACAAGAATGATCCAGAAGGTCTGTGTTTTTTTCAAATGTGTAATGTCAATAACTTTTTCTTTAACTGTACAAATATAAATATTGTAGGTTTCTTTTCCTGAGGTGTTAGTATTAGACTTATATAAAAAGAATAAAAGATAATTTACATATTATTGCTATTTATACCAAATAAAACCCTAATTCCTATTTTTTTTTTTTCCTTTTAGAAGTAAAGACTACTCTGCACATACTCCACTACTGAGCCCTGCCTTACAGGCCTTGTTCGCCAAGCTAAATGCCAGCTGAGCTGTGGATACACCAGTAAGTTGAACATAAAATGTGTAATTCAACCATTCGTAAGCTGTGGGTTTGGTTGATGTTGTCTCGGCTCTCAGGACAGTTTTTAAATAATTTTATTAGAAATGTGAAAAATGTGCATTGAAATAAAATTCTTTATGCAGTTAAATTTGTAGAAATAATTGTTTTACCACGAAACAGGTGGCAATTTAAGTCCACAATGCTAATTACTATACTTAAACAGTGTCACAAAAACTAATTTAACTTTGTATTCAATGTATTTCAATGATTAAAATACGTTTATTTTGGATTTTAATTTTGGAATTTCCTAAGTAAAAATAATGTTTTGTTTTTTAGATATGTGGAATGCCTTCATCATCAATGACGTGTAGTGTTAAAATATTAAACAAATGAGAAAATGTCCAATAGTTAAAAACGGAAGTACGACGAGCAGCTGATATACCCACAGACTTTAGGTGCATTATTCACAACAGTGGACTTAGCAATCATGGTGACTGTGGTAACACTAAATTCTACAAAATTAAAAGTCTCTGCTGAACAAAAAACTAGATCAGCTGCACTCAAATTCGCAAACAAGCGATTAGCTGAACCATGTGACTCACCCACATCGCATGCATGACATAATGCAAGAGCATTCCTGCCTCATTATGTGGAATAGACCTGAACATCACGTGGTTACCACCGTGGGTGCTACCAGAGGCCTTTACCCAAAACACCTAGAGATAGGTTAAGTAAAGCGAAATGTACAAAACATTTCAAAAACACCATTCACCAAGAATTTTTGCTAACTGTAGTAATCAGTTTCCACCCAGAATGCATCTTCTGTAAAAGTTGGAAGTGAAAGCCAAAGAAACATGCAACGACAGAGCGGTGTGTTCAATTCAGGCAAACACAACATGGCAACAAATTGAGTCGGCAGGCTTTTGAGGGTGGGCGATTTTGCCTTATATCGAATAGTACAAGGTGAAGACCTGGTGGCCAGAGAGGCAATGTTTCATACTTCATGTCGGAAGGATTTTGAATTGAAAGTGTTTAACCTTTCTAAGCGCCAAAGTATGGGGGGTTCAGTTAAAAATTCCCACACGTCAGAAAACCTTGCCCAACAGTCGGTACGTGATATGATTTCACAAAAAGTGGTTGTACAAAAGGAAGTAATTCCTCTAGCCTCAGTTAGGGACTTGTACGAGGGTTGTCCAAAAAATTCGTGCACTGCAGTAATTGTCGTAAGAGTTATTAATAAAAACAAATGAATTATATATCACTTGAAGGGGAAATCTGTCTCAAATAAGAAAACAAAAGAAAAAGCCGGTAACTGGGGAGTCGTGTAAAAGAATGGTCATTAAGTTACCTTAGTAACGTAATACCGGCGCACGGCAAAAAATTGGGTTTGTTCATACTGTAATTGTATCAATTCTTTGTTGCTTGTAAAAGTGGCAATTTGCTTTTTATGTTATAATTTGTTTTACTGTCAAAAGAGGAAAGATTGATGCATAGTATGTTGTAGTTTTTATTGTTCTTATGCAACAGACATGTAACATATCCCACCAGTGAACGAATATATTGGACAACCCTCGTCACATAGTCCGGCATTATGGATGGACGTCTGCCCTGACCGGTTGTCATCGTCTACCGACTCTCGCCCTTCTACAGAGCGTTTGTGCCATTTAAAAACCAGCCTTGGTGACACTGAACTTGTCCCCGCTTACCATTATAAGTTCTTTGTAAGTATTTGTTTGTGTTTTACCAATATTTGCACAAAATGTAATGATCGTCCGTATTTCCAGACGTTTAGCGACTGACATTATTACGTAATTACAATATTGACGACCTCACACAAATGTTTGTTTACGACATTACAATAGGGCAAATGACGTAATATTTTATATTGACGTTTGGAATACGTACACATACTTTTCCCTGAATTTTAACGCTTATATGTTGTGTTTTAAGAATACCATGATGCATCAAAGTAATGAACTAACCCACTTTTTTGTCGTGCGCCTGTATAACGTTACCAAGGTAACTGTATGACAGTTCGTTTTCACGACATGCCAGTTACACGTTTTTTTCTTTTGTTTTCTCATTTGAGACAGATCTCCCCTTCAAGTGATGTATAATTAAGGTTTTTATATCAAGAAGTCTCACGACAATAACTGCAGTGCACGAATTTTTTGGACAGCCCTCGTACATAACCGAAATGCATAACAATGGCTTCCCCAATATAAATTACAACAATAGAACCTTGAAAGTGTGGTTGCAGTCGGATCCTATTGGACAAAAAATTGCTTTCACTAAACAGAAAGGTGCTGGTTGCATTATGCATAGTGTGGTATTTAGTGCCGACATGACTGTGCCAGAAGCAATTGCCAGTGGTTTTAAGTTGGGATCAAGTTCAGTTAAAGAGGAAGTAGCTACTTATCTCAGGAAAAGTGTGAAACAGGCATATACGGTGTCAAAACCGCTGCCATGGCCACCCACTGCCGATGACCTTGACGCTTTTCCTCCGGAGGAATTGGTCCCAGATGCACTTCAAACATTTCTGACACAACTCGTATGTGGAGATTCTGCGGGGACTGAAAAGACAAGTTTAGTGTCCAACCAAGAAGAGACAGATACCAGAGTAGTTTTGTACATGCACTACGCATCAACGATTGGCTACCAGTCAGCTATTGTGCGTACACCCGACTCTGACTTATTCTTCATTACCTTGTTCCATGCACAGTCTGTACCACTGACAGTTTATCTCGACGTTGGTACAGGAAAACAGAGACAGGTAAAAATATATACCATGCATTAAACCTATCTTTAATTTCTAGTTACTGAATTTCATTAATGTACCAAGTAATTATTCCAACAGTATATACTTTTTTTAATCTAACAGAATGTATATATAATATACCAAGAATTAAAAACTTAAAATAAATTAAATTTCAATACATATTTAACTTTTGAATGCATAAACTACTTTGTCATCTTAGGTGGTGAATATTAGTGAGCTGGCAGACTCACAAGGTGCTGAATACAGTGAGACTCTACTAGGACTTGCATGTGTTCACCGGTGAAGATGTCACAAGTGCATTTAAAGGGCAAGGGAAAGGTCACACCGCTCAGAAAGCTGCAGAGTAATCCTAAATACCACAAAACATTCAGGTAAAATGTTTGTAACTGATTAAAAAATGAATTGTCTGAAACAGTAACACATTTCTAACAAATTATGACAGTAAATAAAAGTATAATAGTCATTATTTTTAACTGATATGTCTGTAGGATGCTGGGTGATACTTGGACAGTTGAAGAAGATGTTATGCAGATGTTAGAAGCGTTTTTTCTGTGTGATGTATGGGTGTCCAAGGGAGAGGTCTGTGAACACATGTAGGGCAGTTCTTTTGAAGAAAATGGTAGGAGACGACGAACAGCTGACCATGAAGTCAAAGGTGGAATTATCCGAACTGCCACTTGCCAGGATAATTTATGCCAACACATCAGAAGAGTCAACCATCGTCTCGGCATCTTGAAAAATGCTCATACACCAGTGATAGACATCCGGAACCACATGATGAAGGGCAAGGGTGGACCAAAAAGAACGAAGTGTTAGAACCATTGTGGGCTGAGGGTCCCATTCTTCCACCAACGTTAGTTGACCTAGTCGAAAATGTTCAAGCAGAGATGGAAGAAGAAGATGATGATGGTTGTCTAGAATTTCAGTGTCAGATGATGATGAGTGACATTCAGTAACCGTAAACTTTTGTGGGAGATTAGTTATGTAGTGAGATGATTGGTGATAGTTATACTTCCAATTGAGTTGATTGTGTTTTTATAAAATCTGTGGATTTGTATTTATTGTCTGTCTTTTCAGACGAATGAATATAGCTGTCATAATCAGAATGTATGGCACGTTAATGAATTCTTTGTTTCTACTCAGTGTATTTGTAAGATATTTGTGTTATGCTGAGTCAACATCTTACTGATATTAATTACTATAGTTATAATCCGAACGTTTCAGAAATAGATTTTGATCCCCATGAATGTAATTATATAATGCAACTGAGGGTATTTTCTATTATTTTTTTTTACAATGTGTCAACATTACATTTAATTATTAAAAAGTTCACGTAAATTGATAAGTTCCTAAATCCTCACAAAACGAAATGAGGAAAATGTAGTTTGTATAATATCCCTCGCACTATTAATACTAAAGTATACAAACATGTTAACTAATGGTCAAAAGCATCATTGTGAATTGTTCGAGAATAACTATGTATCTATGTATTTATTTCATTGGTGATTATTGCCCCCACCCACTTTTAGAGATGGGCATTGTGAACAGTTAAATGTGACATATTCTGTTGTTTAAGAATGTCTTAAGAATGTCTTTTCTTCATTTTATTGTTGTATGTTCACATTGGACGATATATGGAAGAACATTTTTGAGAGTTACGGTAAATTAAGAAAATAAGTCGTTCCCGCGATTAAGAGACATTTACCATAAAAATGTGTTTTTTGCCAATTTTGCTGCAAAACGTTAACCTTAAGTTTTTAAAAAAAAAATTGTTACTTCTAATAAATTACTGAGAAATATGGAAATGTCACAAGAAAGATAAATAATGTTTTGGAATTGACAGAGAAGACTTCCATAACTTGTATATATAATTATGCAGGTTTTGACTTTTTTTCATGTAATTGTATGTAATTACCCCACCCACTTTTTTATGCTGCACTTTGTTAAATCTGACATCTGTACTTTTAAAAATATTTATATCTTTGTATGCTATTGTATTTTGATGATTAAAGATAAACTCAACAATTTAATGAGCATTTATGCAATTTTAAGGTAAGATTGAGATGGGCTTTTTCATTAAAAAATGAAATTTTCGGCCATTTTTAAGGCAAAAAGTTCACCTTAATGTGTGAAAAAATAAGTTTGCACCCTTTAAATTACTAAAAAAAATAGATTAGGAAATCTCAAGAATGATTAAAACCATGCATAGAAATTGCTGTAGAAGACCTATATACTTTTTGATGTATTTTAAGTACATGGCGTATTTTTCACAAAAATGGATGGCACTTACCCCACCCACTTAAATAGTCCCTTAAACTAAAATTTAACTTTTTATCTAGACTTAAATATTTTTTTTCAAATTCTTTATCATGTATCTGTAAAAAAATGTGAAAAAATATTGTATAAGAGGTTAAATAATTTTTCTGAGCCGAATTGGAACCAGCCAAATGCAAAAAAAAAACACGTTTTTTACCCTTTTTAAGCATATTTTAAGGCAATTTTCAAAAAGTTATGCTTTTTAAAGTAAAAAAATTGCTTATATATCAGGAATTCTATGTAATTCCGATCATCTTGATGAATAAATGAATTTAAAATGTGAAAATGAAGTGTTGTATTTGTATTTTAAGTAAAAATGGTATTTTCTTAAATTTTTGGCGGCCATCTTGGCGGCCATCTTGAATTTGGACAACGTGGGAACCCTTGATTTTCTGGGAACATAGATTTTTTTCAAATTTAGACATTCAAAAACAAAATGAGCCTGGTTTAAAAAAACCTTCCTGACATGCATCGTAGGCCTTCGTTCCTACTAAGCTATTACTTTCCACAGGGCTTAAAATGTTTGTTTGCCACATCCAACCAACAAACCTGTTTGAAAATGTTTTGGCTTCAAATATCAACATTAATTTTTCTTTCTGTGTATTACATGTAGTTATCTGAGAATTTTTTTTTTTCGGTTCTTGCTGATTTAATAGATTTTTATTACTGAATGTATTGGTCTGAATTGGCATACAAACAATTTATGATGGTTTTATTCTACTATGTTTGTTGTCACTACTGATACACACATCACAGACCACTGTTCTATGTTATATCACATTGGCTAAACATATGTTATGTTATGTTTTATAAAACAATACCTTTACTCAATTCAATATACACATTTAATTTCTCGTTACAAATTTGGATATAATAAGTATCAAATGCCTTCACAAGCATGCAATTTAAAAAAAAACAAAAAAACTTATCAGTTAGAAGAGATTTACAGTAAAAATAAAAATCAATACATTACAGCTCTGCCATAAGAAATTGTCAAAACCAAAATATTAATATCAATACATATGGCAATTGGTTATATGTTATAACAATCATTAAATTACAACCACAAATAAAGTTGGTTTTCTAATGCACTCTCTAATCTCCTTGTGACATTCATTCACATAAAACAACTCTTGGATTCAAAAATGTCATAGCTTGATTCTGTACATCAGACATCTTGTTAAACATACAAAACTTCAATTTGTAATCATATCAAAACAAAATTATAAAACTGTATATAAACTAATATGACTAGATTTTCTTGCATATCAGACATGTGTTTCCGTTCGTTTTACCCAAGCTGGAAATTTCATCTGGCATGGGGGGGGCCAGATGAATTGCGTGCTGTACATTGGCACGCTAAGGATGACATAATTTTACCTTTATGAATGAAATTGTAATTTCATACGCTGTTGTAAGAAAATAGTTACGGGTGTAATGATATAAATTTCCATGGAAAATTGTTTTATTTATGTAAAGAGTTTAAAATATAATAAAATATGGTAGAATATGCAAAAAAATATATATTTTCCCATCCGAACTGCAACATATGACAGATATTATTGACAGATATTATAAGGACAAGTCTTATTTCATAGTTATTCCAAAAAAAAAAAAATAGAATACATGTGACAGGCTATATATATAACTCAACAAGAGCACATCTATAAATATAACTACATGTATACCCTTCTTAATTTCTATAATGGACTAGTCCTACATTTAGTATAGAACAGTCTATCATGATTAGATAGGGGTTTCTAATATCAAAATGGTTACAATGAGCAGTTGTTGTGAGAGATTTATAAGGTTGCACTGATGTCCAGGCTGGCTCGACATAATCATGGTGGTATATGTATGACATTATCTTTATGAGAAAGACTAAAATTCAATATAAAATCAGTTTGAAATACTTACTATCTTTTTACCAGATCAAAACTACAAAAATGTTTTAACACATCATGAATATTTCAATTAAAATTATTCTTATTGCACTAAACTTCATTAAGATCATGTAACAAAACAAATTGTTACTAGCATTATTAAAATTTTGGGACTGGACCTAATTTTTTAACTTTCTAAGCAAAATTTCTACATACAATTTCAGATTTTTACTAGATATACCGAGTGCTTTATACTGACAAATTTTATCAATACGCCTAATTATTGTATAAACATTGTATTGTACTAATCTAAAATTTTCTACATTCTAGGTGTTTTATATTAGAGGGCAACCTAAGGAACATTGCTGTGGAGATTGCAGGCGTTTAGGAGATGTTGTTTAAATACAATTCAACAAAAAGAGTGAGTTAAAAATGTATTGCATAACAGAAACAATAATATGCCTAATGGGTGACACTGATGGATGCACCTTGTTGCCACCATGATACAGATGTGTTGGCCATGTAACCTTGAAATAGCTATAAACCAGAGAAGGTCAAACTATGAGAAAACGTAATTTTCAGCTGCAATAAGATTGACCTTTCAACTTGCTGTTTGTATATGGTAGTTAAATGATAAAGATATTGTTTTAAATCAATAAAGGATCTATGAAGAAAAAAAAGATAATTCTATTTTCAGTCTGGGTGACCTTGGCCTTGAGGATAAAAAATGCCAGGCATATTAGAAATTAAACATCAAATAATGGCATAAACATCAAATAATGGCATAAATTTATGAAAAATAGTGTGATAGAAAGACTAAAGGCCACACCATCAACTTTATACTGCCCCCTCCTTAAACAAATTCATGTAAATGTAACCCCATTATGAAAAACAACTATGATATATTCAAAATCAGGTATAAACTTAGCATTGCTCCCAACAGTCAAGGCCAAAATAAAGTAACATTTAAACCATGTGTGGGTTAAACTTAATCAAATTTACAATAAGATATCTTCAGCATTCAGGATAGAATTATTGTTAAATAGTATCAAAGATTCTTTTTTTTACTCTAATCTCCAGAAAGACCTAAGTTTGAAAAATGAAATTTAAACATAAGGTTATCATAATAATGAAGTTAAAGGAACTCCACTGAGGTTTTTTTAGAGATAACAGGACTAGAAATATTTATCCCACATGTGTCTGCCATTTGAGAAGGGTCTGGACCGATAACTTGTGTTTTCATATCATTCCCTCTACCCGTTTTTCTAGGATAATCATTTTTATTGTGCAAGATGACCTAAAAAATTAAAAGCATTACAATGTTTTCCAGTCAAATCAGAATCATAAGAATCACACAAAAAATCAATATTCAAGTATATTTCTATATTATACTATCCT